CACATATGTAATACCCTTTGTAATACTTTAAGCAAAAAAAAAAAAAGAATTAAAAAAAATACTGTTTACCTCTGCTTTTCTTTCCGTGTCTCTGGGCACACGTCTCTGTTCGGGAAGGACTGAGTGTTAACCGGCTGTCTCTGTGTGGGGTTGGAGCTGCTTCCCTTTTCTTCTGCTTCTCATTTGCTTTTCTGCACGAGCACGTGTTTCTGCCTTTTGTGCAGTAAAATGTGAAGGACGATGAATAGGGAGAGCTGTGCGAGTCGGTGAGCATTCTGTGTGGACTAGCACAGTATTGGCATCTTCCATGGGCTTTGATGGTGTGGGCTGTGGTCACACACACCCTGCGTTTCTGGAGAATTGATTGGTGTGTAAACACCCGGCCTCCACGAAGATGGAGGGGACGGAAAGATTCCTCTTCACTTTTGCTCACTTCCAATAGTGGAGAAAATTACTTGCCTGTCGGTGAAAGCTGCCGGGGAGGGTTCAGTTCATGTTCAGTTTACTAACTGACTCATTGACGGTTATGAGCAGGCCTGCCGGAGGTTGCGTGGAACGGCTTTTTAAAATGTTCTCCTGGGCCCGGCCGGGGTGGCTCAGTGGTTGAGCGCTGACCTATGAACCAGGAGGTCACGGTTCGCTTCTCGGTCAGGGCCCAGGCCTGGGTGCAGCACCATCTTCAGTCGGGGGCGTGCAGGAGGCAGCTGGTCGATGTTTCTCTCTCTCTATCCCTCCCCCTTCCTCTCTAAAAAAAATCAATAAAAACATTAAAAAAAAAAAGTTCTACTCCGCAAGCGTGGGGGGGGGAGGGAGGCAGGCTGGGGACCAAGCCCAAGGAGGCCCCGCCAGCAGGCAGGAAGGGGACCCGCTTCACCGCCGACCCGCAGTCTTGCACGCGCGTCCCGTGGGTAGAGCCTCACTCCTCGCAAGCCCCGCTGTAAACGGGCTTCTGGCGACAGCATGGGGGCCGGAGAGCATGGCGCTCAGTGGAATGGCCACACAGAGAAAGACAAGGACCACGTGATCTCACTTCCATGTGGACTCTAATGAACAAAACAATTGAACAAACAAAACGGAGATATAAACATAGATTACATAGAACAGACTGACAGCTGTCAGAGGGAGGGGCTTGGGAGCTGGGTGAGAAAAGGTGAAGGGATTAAGCAAAAAATATCTATCTCTCTATCTTTCTATCGGTCTGGACATCGAAAAACACACACAGATGCAGACAGCAGCGTGGCGACAGCCACAGAGGAAGGAGGTGGGCTCGGAAGAGGCAAAGGGGGTGAATGGCGACGGAAGGCTTTGCTGTGGGCAATGGGCACAGACGCCGTGTGCGGATGACGTCTTACTGACTCGAGCACTCGAAACCTGTGTGGTTTTGCGAACCAGTGTCACCCCAGTCAATTCAGTGACAAGTGAAATAAATGAAGAGGTGGATCAGCTCACCTCTGCCTTCCAGGAAGGCGCCCGCGGAGGCTGAGCAGAGCCAGCCCTGTCCCAGCACCAGGCCCAGGCTTGGTAACGGACCGGGGCCTGGCTGCTCCCCGCCCGGAGTGCCTGCTGCACAGCTGTCGGGCCTGCTGAGCTGGTGGAGTCCCCTCCATCACTACCAGGTGCAGCATTATCTTATGTTCCACGAAGAAGAAAAAAGCTGCCCATAAAACCAGACTTAATTTCTTCTCACTGAGAATTTTCATTTATGCTGACGGGAAGAATTCTTTAAGTGTGTTTCAGCTTTGGTTTCTGTATAGACTTTACTCTTGTATGTACATATAAAAAGCAAAATGTGAGCAAAATATGTTGGCCCAGGTGTAACTGCACAGCCGTAGCCCCGCCCTTCGGAGCGTCGTCTGCGGGGTTGGTATTTGTGTTGTGCTGCACGGTGTTGTCCTCGGGGCCACCTGAGGCCCGGGACACACTTTCTTAAAAGAAAGCTTTGCCTTTATTGTTTCTGGAGTTTTCCAGATTCTGCAGATTCTTATGCCGACACTTTCCGGGCCTTAACCAGCAGGCGTCGAGCAGCACTAGCCAGGCCGCGTCGCCCCATCAGACCGTTGCTTCCCGAGTTGTGTTTGGGACAGAAGCCTCGAGGAGCGCAGGTCCGCGTGCCTCGGGCGGTGACACGCGTGTTTGCGGATGGGAAGGCAGGGACCTCTGTGTGTCCGTTGATTTCAGAGATGTTTTCAGGGGCCGTCTCAGAGTTAATGAAGCACGTTATGCCCACTAGTTCAAGCTTGTTAATTACGTTAGTCAAGTCTATATCGGCCCCCC